GGGGAGAGCTGTCAGATGCAGGTAAATCCTGCTGTCTGCTCCTTTGTCACCTCCTGCCGCGAACATATTGGCTAAGTCACCCCCCACAACAGCACAGGGGTGGTAAGAGAGGGTCGCTAGCCCCATGTGTCTGCCCCTGATAGACTGGCTAAGGCAGTGATGGCTGGCAGGTTGGCCTGGAGTCAGGCAGAAGGAAGGGCAGGGTGGCACCTTCGAGACTGACTGGATCGGAGGGGTGGGAGCTGTTGTCGGCAACACCTCCTTTGCTGGAGCAGGGAGGTGCTGTGTGGATCAGACCCGGCAAGCGCCGATACGATAGTCGATCTCAGCGCGACGGGGAGGGCGAATCCGCATTATGTCCAGATTCAGGGACTCCGGGGACGGGGCCGCTGGCAGTGGCTGGGATGTGGCCGAAGGGCAGGAGAGTGCCGCGCTTATTAAGCGCGCCTGTAGGAGCCCCCTCCCCTGGTGCTGCACCCCCCTGCACGCAGTCTCCTGGATTGCAAAGTGACCGCACCGCCCTGCCGGTCCTATTTCACGTGAGTCGAGGTGGACAGACGGGGCCTGAAGATCGACCCTGAACGTTTTCTCCCCCGGCTCCGTCTCTTCCTCGTGTTTTCGGCCATCCGGTCGCTATATAGGGACGACTTTTGTACCCCCTCCCTCTGCCCAGGCTCGCCGTAGTATGGAGATAGATGAATTTATTCTTCTCATCTATTCACACAGATGAATTTGTTCTTCTGACTCTTCAGCAAGGGAAGGCGGTTTCACAGAAACATGATGGTTGTGAAGCTAGATCCACAGTAATTTATGGTCCCTCTGAAGCCCTCTCTGCTGCAGGCAGTCCAGCTCAAGCCTGGCGGTCATCCAGCCCAATGCTGGAAGCTCAGCACCACGTCTAGGTGTAAGGCCCATCCCACTGCTGCCTTCTCCCTTCAGGGTGTCGGGGGGTCGCCTCCGCAGGCAGGGTTCAAGCACAGGAAGCCAGCCAGCAATAACCCCCCAGTTCTCTGCACCCGACTTCCAGGTACTCTGCACCCCACGCTACCTGCCTCTTAGCACAAATCTGGAAGGAGAGACACATAATCTGTAGAAAACCAACATCCTTTGAAAACCTGTGGTGCATGTCCATAAGATGTAAGAAATAGATAAGACATAAAAAATAAGCAGCGGTGTGGATGTCCTTGGCACAGGCCACGAAGTGGGGCATCCTTTAAGAGCCAGGCCTTGGCCATAAACAAGCCCATCTCTCCTCATCACAGCTGCCGTCCCCTGTGCCAGGCTTTCTGCCGCTTCCCATGGTGCTGCTGCCCTGTCTGTGATACCACAGGCAGCTGGCCTAGAGAGCCCTGCTCAGTAAAATCTCCCCTCTGCAGCTTTTAGAGCTGTTTTGGCGTGGGCAGGGGTCTCCTCAGCTGGACCAGAGCAAGCTGACTAGTGCAGACAGCCTGAATCACTTTCTAGCTCTTGTCCATGCTGCTTCTGGACAAGCCAGTGGCTGGCTGGAGGGCTGCTGCAGACGTGGTTATGTGCATAGGTTATGTGCAGCCCTATGTGCGATGCGTCGGTTATGTGCAGCCCTATGTGATGCATCGGTTATGTGCAGCCCTATGCGATGCGTTGGTTATGTGCAGCCCTATGTGCAATGCACCGGTTATGTGCAGCCCTATGTGCGACGCGTCGGTTATGTGCAGTCCTATGCGATGCATCGGTTATGTGCAGCCCTATGTGAGATGCATCAGTTACGTGCAGCCCTATGTGTGATGCACCGGTTATGTGCAGCCCTATGTGCGACGCATCGGTTATGTGCAGCCCTATGTGCGATGCACTGGTTATGTGCAGCCCTATGTGCGATGCACCGGTTATGTGCAGTCCTATGTATGATGCACCAGTTATGTGCAGCCCTATGTGCGATGCACTGGTTACATGCAGCCCTGCTCTGGATTTGAAATTCCTTTTCAGCTCTGCTGCCCTGGAAAACTAAAGGCCTCATTGTAGATCTGACCCAGGGAAGGAGCTAAAAGGGTCCCAAGACCTTATGTGGCAAATATTTCAAGCCTGTCTTAAGCTTCAGGTACGAAATTAGAGAACCTAGACTTGATTGCCCAAGTTCAAATCCCCCTGGCGTTTGTTCAGTCCTTTCTCCTGAGGAAAACAGATTGGGTTGCACGTGGACTGTTCTGCAGAGGCTTTTGGATGAGGCCTTGTGTATGTCTGCCCTGCACAGACATTGATGTTCCCAGATTGTGGCCCCCTTTGAAAAAGCAATCAGGGCTCATGATAGAGGTGATATCTTCTATTAGACCAACAAGATTTTTGAAAAAAAAAAAAAAAAAATATATATATATACACACATATATATACACATACATATGTGTGTGTGTGTGTGTGTGTATGTATGTATATATGTGTGTACATATGTATATATATATGTGTGTGTATGTGTGTGTGTATATATATATATGTATGTGTGGGTGTGTATGTGTATATATGTGTGTGTGTGTATATATATATATATTAAAAATGTCCTCTTTGAAAGCCTCTATCTTGGTGTCCTTAGCTTGAGTTTGCCATTTCTCCCAGGCTGGGTATTCCCCGCTGGCTCCCTTTTGGCTGTGGTCCATTAGTGATGGGATTTATTATCACTGTCCCTGTAGAGCCAAGATGTTTCATCCCCGTTGCAGCCCTATAAGGAAGAGAGAGTTCCTACCTTGAGGAGCTTGCAAGCTATGTGTAAGACTAGAGAGAAGTGGTGGGTATAACACACAGGTGTGGGGAGCACAAGGTTGTTGTGATCATCTCGAGAAGCAGCCGTCAGAGCTCACCATCTCTCTGGGCCTTGTGCTGCAGCAGAAGAGAGCTGAAAGAGGGGTTTGAAAGTGGACGGTGGTGGTTTAGTGGATTTTTATGAAGAGCTGCTCCATGGATATACCCAGCGGGTGCTCAGGATATAAGGAGCTTTGAGGACCTTTGGGAAGGACCATGCCTTGCTTGCACCATACGGTAGAGTCAGCTATGTGCTGGGTGAGCGTGATGCTAGCTGGTCACGGCGTTCCTCTGGCCCATTTCTGAGTGAAGAAAATTGTGACACGATAAATACTGCAAGTGCCAGTTCAACAAAATTGTCTGCGACAGATAGGGCAGGATATATTTCCGGCCTGAATAATAAAGCTCCTCCTTGCTGCACATATACTAACGAAGTGCACAGGCCCCATATTCAAGCATCCTGGCTCCGCTCCACCCATTGGCGGTGGTGTGTGTGTGCGCGCGCTGATTATACACTCAGCAATTTGTAGCTGCTGTTGCAACCGTGCTTTTCAGGCCTGACAACACAGGAAGCATCTCCGTGCACCACAAATAGAGCACAGACCGTTAGTAATCGCCTCTTTTGAAGACTGAATGCAGCTGACCCTGCACAGATGGTTGTCGCTGGTTAATACTCTGCGTGGACCTTTTGGTCGCTGACCCAGTAACCCCCACCTCAGTATCCCCGAACAGAGAAGGTCTCGCCTTCCTCTGTTTCGGGCGTCAGAAGTGATGGCATTAATTGACAGATGCTCATCTCCCAGCAGCAGATGAGCTTGCCGTTCAGCTGTGAAGCTACTATTTAGAAACCTTGCGTAGAAAGAGCAGGGAGGGGAAGTTTGTTTTGCACAGGGGTCACTTCCTAATTCTCCTCCTGCGTGGGCATCTGTCCTTACGGCATGGGGGGGCATCTTCCCCTAACGCATGGGGGATTCACATGCAAAGTTCTGCAAAGTGAGAGAAAACAGGGCACGGCCCTCTGGTCTCATCATTTTCACAGCGGCCACGTGAGAGCTCCCCAGAGTGCAGCCCCATATGCAGGAGGAAGGAAGAGACCCTCCCTCCAGTAAAATGGTATGAAAAAACAAAATCCAAGAGGTTTCTAACTTTTCATGTGCCAAAAGTGGTCCAGACTCAAGGGTAGTAAAATAAAAGCCAATTCAGCAGCAGCCATCCCGACACCTGGTTTAAAGCTCGGTGTCATTAAGCAACCAATTCTGCGCTGGAGCTGAGCATGGGTCTCTCGAACAACCCTCCTGAAGACTGCTGCTTCTCAGTTACCGACAGGTTATTGTGGTTGAAGTCAATCCCTTTTTGACACACCACCTGCTAAGAGCAACGGCTGCTTATCAGCAACATTTCCCTGGGAAATAGTTTCCCCAAGGTGTCATCAGTCACCCCATAACACGTCCGTGCCCTGGTGCTGTGGCTAATGGAGATGAACTACATTTATAGTCCAGGACTGAAATGAAGAAATGGTCCTGGCCCATCTCCTTTTTGCTATGAGCTTCCCCCTTCGTTAGGCCTCAGGGTGCTTTGCAACTGGCCCTCGGACTCCACTTCTCCAGCAACACGCAGGAAGATTTTAATTAAAACCTTCTTAATCAAATCTGCATGGCCCTTGCCTTTTCCTTCTTTGAACTTCTCCTTCAAGGCCATCTAGGCCACAAAACACCTGACCAGGGCTAAGCAATGAGCAGCCTGTTGTGCTGCTGATTGCAAGACTATGAACTACCTCTTTGTGGTCATACACATATTTCCATCTCTCAACCTGTACTTTATTTCCATCTCTTGACCTGTACTTAGACAGTGGTAGGATGCCTTTTCCTTACAGGTGTATCCAGTGCCTGGCAGAAGGAAGGTTTTGGGGGCTGTAGTGCTATTCCAATGCAAATCATCAGTAACAACTATGATTGCACCCATTGATCTGCTCAGACCTTTGTATGTAACCAGGTCATTAGGGGCCGTGGTTGCTGGCAGCCCCCCCAGCAACGTGCAGATACAGTGAGGCCTGTTTGAATTTTTTATGTCTTCCTCAGAAAGTTTCAGTGTTTGCAAGCTTAGGAGCGAGGGCTTGCTCAGAAACCCTTCAGGCAAGAGGCGAGATTTAAATTTAAAAAGCAGAGGGGCCTTGGAAACATGAAGGGGATCCAAAAGCATCACGGTGTGTCATTAAGGGAGTGTTAGTTCATAGAGTCATAGACCATGAGAGCTGGAAGGGAGCTCAGGAGGTCACCTCTAATCCAACCCCCTGCTTCAAGCAGGACCAGCCCCAACTACATCATCCCAGACAAGGCTTTGTCTACTCGGGGCTTCAACACCTCCAAGGATGGAGAGTCCACCACCTCTCTGGGTGACCTGCTCCAGTGCTTCACCACCCTCCTAAAGAGAAAGTTTTTCCTAATATCCAACCTCAACTTCCCTTGCTGCAACTTGAGCCCATTGCTCCTTGTCCTGCCATCTGCCCCCACTGAGACCAGTCCAGCTCCATCCTCTTTGCAGCCCCCCTGCAGGGAGGTAAAGGCTGCTATCAAATCCCCCTCGGTCTTCTCTTCTGCAGACTAAATCAGCCCAGTTCCCTCAGCCTCTCCTCACCAGTCATATGCTCCAACCCCCAAAACATTTTTGTTGCCCTTGGCTGGACTCTCTCCAACTTCTCCACACCCTTTCTGTAGTGGGGGGCCCACAGCTGGACACAGGACTCCAGATGTGACCTCACCAGGGCTGAACAGAATTCACAGAAGTTTGGGGAATAATTCACCAAAGGGCTTTTTTGGAAGTCTGTAAGCCAGGATTGGATATAGACCTTTTGGGGGGAAAAAAAGCCTGGTAAAACTAGGTTGGTGGTAACTGAACCTGAAGTCGGGTTTATCTGGGTGAAAGTCAACACCCCAAGTACAAACTACGTGGTTAGAATGGCCTGAAAATCTACACACTGCTAATCCATCTTATTTTAGCCCTGGTCAGGTGTTTTGTGGCCTAGATGGCCTTGAAGGAGAGGTTCAAAGAACTGCATCCCATCTCTGACCATAACCAGAGCCAAAAGCTTCTGAGGAAGGGAGGTGACCCTCGCTGTTGGCAGGTTGTCATTAACAATGGTTTTGCCTTTACCCCAAACAGAGTTTGGCTCGTGGACTGAGAAATAGCCCCAATGTGAAGAGGAACACGGGCTCCTTGGCTGTGCAGGATGTAAAGGTGCAAAGGGATGATGCAGGATGCACCTCCCTTTGTCTTCCTATTGTCTGAGGGTAACGCAGGGGGATGCAAGAGCTCAGGAGAACGAGTGAAAGGAGTGGAGAATAGCATTGGGAGAGTGATTTTGAGGCACATGGGCCAGCGGACGAAGCTGCCAGGGGAAGGTACCACTGTGGGAATGGCAGAAGAGGCAGCGCTTAATAGCACGGGCTGGCGAAAGAGGAAGCAACTTCTGACTGGGGCGTGTCAGGATGTAAAGGTGGTTTTGACAGTTGCTATAATTCGCAACAGGAAGCAAGAGGGGCTGGAAAATGAGTTAGAAATGTCAGAGAGTGGGCTGGGGGGATGGTTTCTTTTTCAGCACGTGCATTATCTCCTGTGGCTTCATTTTAAAAGCACTAGGCCTGACGCATCCATACCTTGTCATTTGTAGGTGTGCGTAGTACAGTTCTTTGTGTGTTAAACAGGCAAGGATGCTATCACAAGGCAGAGCCCTTGTTGCAGTACCACCGAGATGCCTTCCCACATGTCCCACGCACTGAGTGATGCCCAGCTGCCATGTTTTGGAGCACATTTTCCTCTGCCCATCCAAGATCCCATACATCCTTCAGCACCCTTCATGCCAAAAACAAATGATCCCGGGAGGCAATTCCTTAACATAATTTGTTCGAAAATGCAGTGCATGCAAACGCAAACCCGACACACCAAAATAAACCAGTTTGAATTTTTTAATCCTTGTTAAATTAATGAGAATTAAACGCCGTGGTGTGTACAAGTGCCCTATGTGTCTGAAAAATGCCTTGAGGGGAATCTTGCTGGGTTATCAGTGGAACATGAGCTTCTGTTGTGATGCTGTGGTCAGAAGAGCTGATGTGAGTGGACAGGGATAGAGAGGCTGTATTACCTTTTTCTCTGGCACCGTCCAAACTTCCAGAGAGATGCGGGTAAGTTGGCGAGGGCTCAGAGAAGATCCATGAGGATGATATCAGGCTTGGGAGCTCAATCTAGTCTGTTCAATAAAGAGAAGGTTAAGGAGGGACTTGATTACAACCAAGACGGGAACAGAAAAGTGATAACAGAGGCCTGTTTAGTGTACGAGGCAACTGGTAGCTAGAGCCAGTGGCTGGGAGATGAAGCAAAACTAATACAGGTTAGAGGTAAGATGCTGGTGAGGGGAATTAACTATTAGAGACATGTGCTGGGGGAAGGGGGGATACTCCACAAGGGGAAATATTTAAGTCAAGACTGGGTGATTTTTCTCTAGGTCAGCTGCATCTATTGACCCTGAAATAGGAATTAATATAAAGAAGTCTCTGGCATGTTGGATCTCTTCTGTGAATTGATAAAGGAAAGATGAAGTGAAAAAGGGGGTTGCTTTCTCTGTTCCTCCCTAGCCCATCTGCACAGGGCATTCAGTACAAAATTAAGCTCCAAAGAAAGGATCGCTTCTTTTTGCAGTATCTTCTTTGCGGTTCCTGTCTGACTAGCATTATCTCAGCCCGTGTCACTGGTGATGTCAGAAATACAGAGGGCTGCAGGGAGGTCGCAGATAGGATGCACGGCAGGGAAAAGGCCTTTTCAAAAAGCTGCTGTTTCTTGGCCAAAGACCCTTGCCATAACCCGCTTGTCGGACGGTGATACTAAATTTTCTTTCCCAGAGAAGGGCTTTATTTTTGTCCCAGTCTCTAGCTTTATTTAGTGCGTGGGTGCGAGCGAGAGAAAGAGAAAGAGATGCTAAATACGGTCATTCTTTTTAGTCCTCCTTTGACCGATCTGCAAAAGTACCTCTGCATTTTGCACCATGTGCTTTTGTTCTGCTTTGCATGTCAGGTCAAACAAGAAGGGAGCTGGGTAAATGTGATGGGGTTTTCTCCTTTTTTCTGACACTGCGTACTAAAATGCAGAGGGCAAGGAGGTTGGGAGAACTGCCACAAATGCCAACCCTCATCTGTGTAGACTGGAGTGAGAAAGCAGGCTAAACAAGGATGCAGCAGGAGATAAGAGGCCATCAGTGGGTAGAAGCACCAGAGAGTCTTAGAGGGAAGGTGATTAGTACGTAGAAATGCATCAAGGGGATTAAACAGCGGGGGGAGAAGGGATGCTTAAATTAAAGTACAAGGTTGGCCCAAGGACGAATGGGTATGACTGACCGTGCATACATTCAGGTTGGAAATCAGAGGAAAGTTGCCCCAGGGAGGAGTGAGGACAAAAAGAAACCCTAACAAGAGTTAGAAACAGGGCTTTTTCTAACAGGAGAAGAGATAGGGGAGCATGGGATTCGGAGAAGAGACCTAGCCATGGCAGGGCCAAGGGGGAGAGGAGGCTCCCAGTCCTGCTTTAACAGGAACATGTCCCCTCCCAGTTGGCACTGGGATTCAATACTAAGCCACGCTGGCTGGTGGAAACCCACTCGGTGAGTGCAGGTTTCCGGCAATTAAAGCCTGTGGTTCCAGGGTCCAGTAGCATTTCCCACCCAGGGTCTCGGGCATGGACGGCCTGTCTGCTTAAAGGATTTTTGCACCAATGGTTTAAACTCCCGTTGCAGATGTGCTGCATGGGTGCAGGAGGAGGCTTATCCCTACGTCTTTCTGCAGGGCACGAGGGCAGGTCGCAGTCGTGCAGCACATCTGCAGTGGGGATTTGCTAGCCGAGTCCAGCTGTGAGCCTTCCCTTTGGCAATGTGGTCTTTCACCTGGGCACGTGGTGGTCCCCGTGAACTTAGCCTGTGGCTGGGCTGCCTGCAGTGGAAGTCCACCGAGGACTTGGGATTAGTTGAGCCCTTTTCTCTGAGCTCCTTTACTGTGAGTCTTTGAGGCCGGCTGCTTTTCTCAAAGCCCATCCTCTCCCTTGGCTTCAGCACAGCGCCTTTGCAGACGGGACCATGACCACTCACGTCACGCTGGAGGATGCCTTGTCCAACGTGGACCTGCTGGAGGAGTTGCCCCTGCCTGACCAGCAGCCATGCATCGAACCACCCCCATCTTCCATCATGTACCAGGTACGCTCCCACTTCTCGGGGGGAAGGCGAGGGTTGTAATGGTGCCTCCCCAAGGTGTTTGGGACAAAGCCTGTGGATGGATGCAACTTTTAACCCCTTGAAAAGGGGAGGGAGATTTGCCTCTCCAGAGCATGCAGCAGCAAGGGTTATGCCTATATGCACTTGTAGCCGTATAAAATACCTGAATCACTTTGAGGAGGTGCAGTGAAAGTGTCAGTGGTGTTGCTAGATCACGTGCATCGCTGTAGAAATGGGCAGATGTAATAGTTGCATCACAGCAGCTTTTCCTGGATTTTTTTTTGATTGCAGTATAACTGTTACCTCTTTCCACACCCTGTGTTGCAGGTGTCCAGGGTTTAGGGAAGCCTGTAGAGACCTAGCCCTGGGATTCCCAAGGGCTGTGTGTACTGCAGGCTAGCAAAAAGGATCTTCAGGTCTGAATAAGACCCAGCTCAGCGAGGGATTAGAAGGAGCAAAAAGTGGGTGTAGGTAGGAGATGGGAGAGGGCGATTACAATAGGAAAAGATCATGACATTGCCTCAGCCTGTGCAGATCCTGTTGGTTCTTCCTTTTATGCGTGTGCTCATGTCTTACAGCATCCACACAGGTAGGCAGGGCATACAGCAAATATAGCGTGTGCCTGCATCCTCTATTCTGCTCTTCCTGCCTTCACGGTCAGTGGGCTCCCTGTGTTAATGTGTAAAGATGCCCACACAACGTCGGCCTTGGTGTGCATGTTGGACGCTTAAATTACAGCATTTATTTCTCCCCATCAAATGGGACCCCCTTGCATGGTTTTATGGAGCCTTTAGTCATCAGCAATTGTGCTTGTCGTCTTAATCAACACGGCTTTAATTGCTGACCGTCTGCTGTATCCCCAGGCTAATTTTGACACCAACTTTGAAGACCGAAACGCCTTTGTGACCGGCATCGCCAGGTACATCGAGCAGGCGACAGTGCACTCTAGCATGGTGAGTCTGTCTGCAAGGGCTGTCCTCAGGGGACAGGGCACAGTCCCTGCATGCTGACTTGTGGGTCTTGCTAGCAGGTGTGGGCCGTTCACAGCAGAGCACTTGTGTGTGTTTCAGAATGAAATGCTGGAGGAAGGACACGAATATGCCGTGATGCTTTACACGTGGAGGAGCTGCTCCAGGGCCATACCCCAGGTAAGAAACAGTCCAGGACCTCTTTCCTGGAAAGAAACGTTGGAGCAGCCAGCTGGCTTTCCCTTCCAAATGCCTAGGACTTTGCTAGGGAAGACCCTGACGTGGAGAAGGAGGGCTGGAAAAAGGTTCCCGTTGCTTCTCCAAACTAGCCATCCACCGACCAGGGAAAGGAGGGGTGTCTGTTTCTAGGCGTAGCAAGAGAGACGGCTGCTTTAGCAGCTGCAAAGAGCTCTTCTGTTGCTGATAGCTGGCCTAGGGACACGTGCTCTGTATACATGTGCTCTGCTCCATGAACCGGGGTAGGACTCATTTCTGTCCATCCCTGCTACAACTGAAGCCATGTTGTAGTTTGCATCCTACCGTACAAACAGCCGCTGCTTTCATAGATTCATGGATATTAGGGTCAGAAGGGGCCTCAGTATGTCATTGAGTCCGACCCCCTGCCTAGGCAGGAAAGAGCGCTGGGGTCAGACGAGGCTGAGACGTGGCTAATTTATTTTGAGGCTGAGATTTATCTCACCCCAGAAGTGATTTCATAGGATCCTAAGGTTGGAAGGACTTCAAGGATCATCTAGTCCAACCCCCAGCACAAATGCACGGTGCTGTGTCCCCAGCCCATTGCATCCCATCCCAAACAGATGCCCCCCACCCCCCCCAGCATGTACTGGGGGAATTAGAGAAAAATTAGCAGAGTCTTTTCTAACTCACTTTGCCCCTATGGTTTCTTGACAAGCATGGCGGACCGATAACTCAAAAATATCTATGACCAAAATTGTCAAACTTGGCTTGTTTGGTGGCCTCCTTGGAGATCTCAACATCAAGTTGTGTTTGAAGAGAAGCCCTTCAGTCGTTTGACTGTCAAATGTGGACAGAGTGGCAGTAAGTTGAGATTTCACAACTGAGAGAAAGGAGGATATATTTTTGGTATGTGTTGTGAGAAGCAAGCTCCCAAAGCTGCTAGGAGGCAGTGACCCAGCAGTGGTGGATAGCTGGCAGTGAGGCCGTATGAGACAGGGGGAAAATGCGGTGTCTCGCATGGTTGCTGCACATACCACTTGGAGACGACCACCTCTAGGCTAGTATTGTGCAGGTCCTGAGCATGTCACACAAAAAGAGCCGATAATTGAGTCCTGGCAAAGGCTGAAGGGATCAAAGTCAAGGCTGAAATAGGGCAGGATTTAACCCAGTGGTTTGGGCATGCACTGGGACATGGGAAGCCCAATTTCTGTTCCCTGTTCTCAGTGCTCTGACCCATTGGATGCCATCCCCAAGGGGCTATTTGCTCTCCTGGGGTGGGTCTTTCCTTCTCTGCTTTTTTGTGACAAGCTTCCCACGTCTGGATTTTCCCAACATGGAACAGAGGCATTTTTGAAACCTCAAAAAAGTTTCCAGAGATGGGAAAACTACTCCCTACCCCGCTGGGCTCAGCACCTGCATGTCCTGCACTGCTGCATTTCAGTACTAATCACTCCACACACCTTTTCCAGGCAAATTCTTCTTTCCCACCACTTATTATTTAGATGCATTTTGAACCCTATTTGCTGCAACAAACACTCCAGCCTGAGTTGTGAAGGGCCTGGTCCTGGCAGCACTTACGCACACCTCCCTCCTAGTGAGAGAGTTTTTTCCCTAATATCCAACCTCAACTTCCCTTGCTGCAGCTTGAGCCCATTGCTCCTTGTCCTGTCATCTGCCCCCACTGAGACTAGTCCAGCTCCATCCTCTTTGCAGCCCCCCTGCAGGGAGTTTTAGCACCCCCCATAGGGCCAGAGCTAGCCTTGAAACCATTCCCTGTGGTGCCAGAAAAAAATACCCCCAGGCTTAGTTGGCTAACATTGTGTTTTCTGTAACGTAGTTGTGGTCCCCTCCTCACCCCCATCCCTCTTATGTTAGTCCCTTGCTCGGGCACTCTGTATTTCCCTTATGACTTTGGTTCATGAATCTTAACATCCCCTTGGTGTCAAAAACTTTGATCTTAGCCAAAAAAGGCCAAAGTGCTAATGGGAACCTACCACAAGGATAGGCTAGTGCAGCCTTCCCACAGCCACATGCTGATGTCTGCACCTTTTTGATCCGCACGAGAGGTCAAGACTCAGTTCCCCTTGGGTTCCTCTTTGCTGGCCCACAGGGCCCAGCTTTATGCTCCTGGCTGAAAAATTTGCTTATTCCCCATGAATTCCTTGGGCTGGTTTGCAGTTTCCTCCGTGATCACTGCAATGGGCCTGTGGGCAGTGTTGGGGTGGATAGCGTGAGGGAGATCGATGGCACGAGGGAGCATGTGAAGAGCATGCAGGAAGGGGTTTCATGTGCTTTGACGTCTCCCCTCCCCTTTGGCAGCAACTCAGGCAAACACGCATTTCCCTTACAGGCATCTGTAGGAGGCATAGCACGTGATGGAGCAAACCCAGTGCCCCAGCTGCAGCAGAGGGGAGGGAGCCCAAGTGATGAAAAATAATTAATGTGACCATACGATTCAAATACTCAGGTCCAGATCCTCAGGGGATGTGCAGCAGGGGCACGGACAGCTTTAGAGCTGCTTTTGCATCCTCCCACGCAGAGGAGCCAGCTGGGGGTTAGGGACTGTCCCAGGCACACGACACAGAAGCTATGGAGCTGCTTTAAATTGTGCTATGTGGTAGCAGGGCCATGCAATTTGTCCCCTATTAGGGAGGCTGGGAGTGTCCGTAGCACAGGGGGATTCCTCCAAAAAGGAGCTTTGGAGTCTGGCTGCCAGTGGTGCAGAGGGGCTGGAGGGCCTTGCCTTCAACTGTCTTGGGGTGAAGTGAGAGGCCAACGAGCCCGGCATGAGATGAATTCAGAACAGGATGAAACTGGGCAGCGTCGGATTGGAGTAAACATGTCTAACACTTCCCAGCGTGTCTGCAAAAGGGCTACAGCGAGGCGGAGGAAACTGTGTTTGCCACTCCCCTTGTCCAGCTTCCCAGGAGCAAGGGAGTTATTAAGTTGATATATTTAAAAGAGAAAGCAAAATCCACCTGAGAAGGCAGGACACCCCCCAATTATGGGGGATGGGATGGGGTGGGATGGGATGATGTAGTTGAGGCTGGTTCTGCTTGGAGCAGGGGGTTGGACTAGATGTGCCCTGAGGTCCCTTCCCACCCTCAGTCTAAGTAATCCCAGCATGGGCTTGATTTGCAGAGGGCTCCTCACAGCTGAAAGAAATTGGGCACTGGCAGCTACATAGCATCATGGTGGTGAATTTTTGGGCAGCTCGATGGCATCATGAATTTTGATGTTGTGACAGCGAGTCAGGACTGACATCATGTACAGGGTGCAGGGCAAATGTGGGGGGACTTTCTTTCTCAGCACAGAACCGGAGGTCACCCCCTATGTCTGTAATAACGGAGAGTATTGCATATCTGAGAGCTAGCCCATGTCCCTTCACTCTCAAGCTTGGGGTTATATCAACACTGGGCACATCTATGCATTCGTTAATGCACCATAGTCACTGCACATTTAGTTTAGTGTTTTCTTAATGAAGTAATAACTGAATGCACAGTAACTTCATTTACTGTGCAGTAGCACCAGTGCATGGTTTTATGTGATGGTTACTGCACCATAGTCTTATAACCGTGCAGTAGCTGATTAGCATGGTTTTTGACCGCCACGCTACTGCACAGCATTATTAGGCTACCGCATAGGAAGCATCTTGTGTAGATGCATCGGCTGTCCTCAGCCTCAGGCTAGCGGCCACCTTGGCACTTGGACCCTGGCATGAGCAGAGGGTGGTGGCCAGTGCCCATCAAAGGGAAATGCCAACCGGAGTGATGCCGATTTCTTGTTGCGTGCCAGGTGAAATGCAATGAGCAGCCCAACCGGGTGGAGATCTACGAGAAGACGGTGGAAGTGCTGGAGCCAGAGGTCACCAAACTGATGAAGTTCATGTATTTCCAGGTAACTGGTGGAGCAGGGAGATAGCAACCCATCTCATGAATGTTGCGTGGTCTGTTTGATCTGGTTTCCTTCCCAGGCAGCCAAGGCAAAGCCACTTTGGGTCCTCTGAGGGCAAAACCCTTTAGTTCTGCAGCTGGCAATGGGATATGTTCACAGCAACGCCACATGACTTGCCTGGCTTCAGATTTTGCTGTATACTCAAAATCCAGACCCAGGACAGGAGACCTTTGAAGTTCATCAAGTCTAGCAGACTTCAGCCCTTGCAAAATACACAGAATGCACTATATATATTTTATACCGCATGCAGTACATCTGCCCTGCAATACAATGTGCATAAAGTACAATATATTTACAGTGCAGTATATTTCTATGAAGGCAGCCACTGTACTGGCTTGGAGAGCCATAACCTTTGGTGGCTGGAGGAGGAAATGACTGTTATCCAGAAGCTGAAAGTCAGGTGCTGGATGAAATACAGAGGAGACGAGGTTTGTGTTAGAGGCAAGGATTTTGTCGGGTGGTACCTTTAATTAGACCAACTGCATAGTGAGATAGACAAGCCTTCAAATGCAAGACATTCCTCATTAGGAATTCATCAGGGATATTTGTGCTGGCATTTCTGCAGTAGAGGGGGATGATTAAGGCCAGTGCTCTTTGATGAAGGTAGGAAGTGTCTGATGCCCGATGCCACCCACCCTTCTCAGAAGTGATCAAGTGAACATTTTTTGATAGATGTGGCTGACCATGTCCCTTCCCCCCACTCCCCAAATAAGAGTTGTTTGGACTTAGGGTATTTTTCAAGAAGTTTCTTCATCTGTCCAGGGGCAAAGCTAGGCATAGTTTAGATCGTCCTGCAAGATCCTCCAGAAGAGGCTGATAATGGAAGTGTTTGGAGGCAAACAGCCTTTCATTGGCATGGTTCAGTATAAGTAAGGACACTAAGGGACCCCCTGAAGTTATCCATCCCTAGAGGTTGTCGACCCCACGTCCCCTTGCCATTAACTGCCTGCAGTGCAGCTGCACTACTGTCTGCCTCCAAAACCAGATGCAGGGTTAAGCATATTCGTGCAGCACCAGACACAGCTTGGCACTGCAGGGAGATAGGGGTGAGGGTCTGCCAAGCTGGGACCAACTGGCTTTGCAAGGCCTCCTGCAAAATTCAGGGCAGCTGGTCACTTTAATGGGTCATGAGCCTGGAAAGGCAACAGGCAGCGCACAGCCCTGTCTCCCCTGAGGTGAGGAAGGGGTCAGCGGGTGGATGTCGATGGCCATTTGCCCTCTGGACCAACCAGGAAGCAGGGAGAGATATTGCACCCAGGCACGCTGCACCTGTGGGTCACATAGTGCCACCCCGGTGAAGCAGGTGCCTGCTGAGCGCGGCCTTGCCCCGTTGCCTTTCAGCGCAAAGCCATCGAGCGGTTCTGCAGCGAGGTGAAGCGCCTGTGCCACGCAGAGAGGAGGAAGGACTTTGTGTCCGAGGCCTATCTGCTCACGCTGGGGAAGTTCATCAACATGTTCGCCGTGCTGGACGAGCTGAAGAACATGAAGTGCAGCGTCAAGAACGACCACTCTGCCTACAAAAGGTGCGGGGCGGTGGTGGGGACAGGGACGGTGGGCTCTGGTAGTGTGCTGGGGGGTGGACAAGGACATGCCATGGCTGTTTCCTAGGGCAGGAGGGGGAAGGTACGAAGCAGGGACTCGCAGGACTTGAGTTCAAGTCTGCTCTGCCACTGATTCTCTGTGTGACCTTGGGCAGGTCACTCAGCCTCTGTGGGCTTATGGTTCCCCATCGGTGAAAGGATAATAGCCCTGCCATGTCTCATGGGCTCACCCAGCACAGGGCATGTGAGTACCTAAAGCAGCTGGAGCTCTTAGGACTGCCGGAGGGAGAGCTGGATCTTTTCATTCAGAGCTTGCAAGGACCAGAGGGCTGCTAAAGTGAATGGAAATGCAAGGAGTCAGCCTGGGGCTGGGTTATTTTTAACCTCACATACATTTTGGGCCTCTGAACTAAGCCCTGACTTCAAGCGAGGGAGCGGGAATGACACGAGGAGCTCTCCTTTGCAGGGCAGCCCAGTTTCTGCGGAAGATGGCCGATCCCCAGTCCATCCAGGAGTCCCAAAACCTCTCCATGTTCCTGGCGAACCACAACCGCATCACGCAGGCAAGTCCATTCCCCCCCACACGCTTCTTTCTCCCAGCAAAGTTACAGGTCAGTGGTGCACACGCGGGGTCACCGTCGCCTGTAGGACCAAGGAGCCATGATTTCACAGCCGGAGCTCAGAGCCCCACAGGGTTGCCGGCGGAGGTGGCCACAGGGCTGCGATGGTTATGCCGTTACCTCCCGGGGATGGGACAGATGGGGGTCTCTGCCATATGGGGTGGCACGTGGACCCTGAAGGGAGCATGAAATATGCCCAGAGGAGCGCCTAGCTGCCAGCCCATCACTGGGGCTACAGGTGGAGAAAGCCTAGTCCCTGATCGTGAAGCTGTCCCAAGCCCCGTGACTCAAAAAGAGGGGAAAGCCATGAGCCATTAAGCCGAATGCAGCGAGTCAGGTCTCGGCAGACGCTCCCAAGGTCCCCTCAGATGTTCCCGACCCCTTGCCCTTCCTCCCTGGGGTTCACGTGGGATGTCTCTGTGTTTCAGTGCTTGCATCAGCAGCTGGAAGTGATCCCGGGCTACGAGGAGCTGCTGGCGGATATTGTCAACATCTGTGTGGATTACTACGAAAACAAGATGTACCTGACCCCCAGCGAGAAGCACATGCTCCTGAAGGTACCCCACATCCTGGCTCCTGGGGTGTTGTCTCTTGTCTGTTCCCACGACCTCCTGCCGGGGCTGGACACAGCCCTGGGTCCCACAGACGTCCCGCACAAGCTTTCTGAAGCGTTACCATGTTCCCAGCCTGACCGGAGCAAAACTCATTTTTTCCCCTGTCATTTCTCCCTGTTCTTTCTGCATCCCATCCCTCCTTCTCGTCCCTCTCTTATTCTCTACCATCACCTCTCTCCTTCTTGGCTCTCCCCCTGGCTAGCAGCTGGCCCATGCAATGCTCCAGGGATGTGTCAGGAACCAGAACTCGTGGTAGAGGTGATATCTTTTACTGGACCAATTAGATTTTTGCAAAAAAAAAAAAAAATTGTTTAATTGCAAGCTTTCCAGCACAAACACCCTTCTTCAGGCATAGGAGAAAATATCCAGGGATGTGCTGCACTATTTGGACAGCAGGTGGTGGTGCTCACAGACGAATGGCACTGCAGGCAGGGATGCTTCTGTTTCCATATGCAAGCACTGAGGAACTGGGCTGTCCCTGGTAGCAGGTGGAGAGAAGTCAGAAGCAGCATCGTGTGTCAGAGCAAAACCCTGCATCTGACCCCCCTGCAGATTTTGCAGTCCTGCATGGTGCAGCTCGGGGTGGTCTCCAGCAGTGCTGCAACAGCTGGGAACCCTGCCCCTGCCAACAGGCTGAAACATCCCTGGGGCAAAATTACAGATGTTCCCTAAAAGAAATGCAGAACTCTAGAAGTCTTGGTTCGGAGATGGTACCTTTTATTAGAAGAAAATCTGCAGAAAAAGATTTTCTTTTTGGTGTGATTTCTCAGCTGGTCTCATAAACGTATCATCCTGAACCAAGACTTCTAGCGTTTTGCATTTCTTTTTGTCTCAGACCAACACGGCTGCCAAATACATCTCTGACAGATGTTCCCCAATTCACTCTGGGAGGAAATGTTTACTGCTTTTTGATGGCATTTTTGGCTCTCTAAACTGCCTTTTGAGGGGGGTTTTGGGAGGAGGGGAGATGCAAACTACCAAGGCAAATGTACCGTGTATTGACAAAAAATATTTGTATTGACAAAAGATATGTCAGTATCTGTATGGACAAAATATTTGTCAAAAATATAGAAATATTTTTAATATTTTTATATATATATATTTATCAATATATAAATATATATATATGTGTGTGTATTTTGTCAATACACATATTTTTTGTGTGTGTGTGTATGTGTGTGTGTGTATACACACACACACAAAAATATGTCTATTGACAAAAGAGATCAGATTCACCCAAAGAACCTTGTCTTAACAAAAAATGTAATTCCTCCATTGACCTTTCGGCTTAGCTGGAGCTGTGATACTGAAGCCAGAAGTGGCATCTTCTCATGCCAAATGCAAGGGCAACCTCTTCATGCCATTTCTGGACAATAACTCTTGCCTCTTCTGTGATCTGGTCCTCCCAGGTGATGGGGTTTGGTCTGTATCTGATGGATGGCAACGTCAGTAATATTTACAAACTGGATGCCAAGAAGAGAATCAACCTCAGCAAGATCGACAAGTTCTTCAAGGTCAGTGACCCGCGTGGGGTGGGCTTGGGATTATTGCAAACCGAAAAAGTTAGCAGGAATGTTTCTTTAAAGGCTGCCTTTCCACTGGCATGATGCTGTGAAATGACCATGGGGATACAGTGACCCAAACAGCCTCTTGCCTTGGTTCCTGCTGGTTCATGACATAAATCGTGGCCCTGGAAGGAACAAATAAGCGCTGGAGCCTCCCGCTAGCTTGACTGCACACCCCGAAAGGCTCCATAAAGTGTTAGTGCAGAGGCTTGGTGAAGCAATTTAATTTCCTTTCTGCCGGGGGGAGGAAGCCATGCTGTGTGCTGCCATCAGAGCCCTTGGAAGTGTCTTCCTCTGCCAGATGTCCTTGTGGGGTTGGGTGCATCTCCTGTCCAAGCTGGCCCACTTCCACCAGCCGCTGTGGGAAGGTGCGAAGAGCTAATATGCTTCCCTTCTCCTGTCACTTCCTACCCTCTGTGGGTTTCATAGTTTTGTGGTTAGTAGGGTCGAAAGGGACCTGAGCAGATCATCGAGTCCGATGAGGTTGTCTGATTGCACTCCAGGGCTGGGAGCCTAGTGCTGGCACCCCCTGGCCTGAGCTGCAGCAGTTCCCCATGCAGAAACCTTCTTCTTCCCATTGCTGTCATCCACAGGGCTGAGCACACATTGCATGCTTAGTGCACGTGTGGGTCATATCAGACCCCGCAGACAGGTCTGGCTGTGGACAGCACATGGTAGGATATTTTCCTTGTGGAGTTGATTGTACCCGGGGAACTTTCCATGAAGTCCTGTTGACCATTAGTTCTCCTTACCCGGAGTCCTTTTGCCAATAACTTTTTTGTTTTTATTGAGTCCTATTGGATGAATTCCTCTCCTAAAATGGGAGAAAGCTCCCGGTTCTGGTAACCGCTTCTGCTCTGCATCAGCTTCACCCTTGCAAAGACAGCAGCCTCTGCCCTTACCTCAAGGCACTTGGACCAGGGCTGCCAGGCCCTGCCTTTTCACCCGCAGCCTGTGCTGCAACGCCAAAGGACTGAGCCCGTGGTGATGCCTGTGCACGAGAAGCTCTGCTTATTTGGCTCTCACGTGCAATGAGATGGCATAACGAGCTGACAAGCTTCTCTTAGACCTCCAGGAATCTGAGCCCACAGCTCACCAACCCTAGGAAAATCATTAAAACTGCCCAAAGTGTTCTGGATGCTCCCCTTGCTCCTGTTTGCTGCATTGAGCTTTTAGCTCAGTTCAAATCAAGCGTCATCGACAGAGCTTGGCCTTTTCAGTGCGTTTGGACTGCTGCGTTGATGGCTGTGAAGCTCTTTGAGCATCGGAGGGCAACACAGGGATATAAGTATCTCTCGCTGTGCTAAAGAGTTGTGCTAATTCCAACTTTCTCTCCACTCATGCCACATGTGGTATCTGGTGCTGTCTCATCCAAATGCACCTGTCTGCCTCACCACATCCCAATGGAGAAGAATCCAGCTCCACCACCACCCCCAGCTCCTTTTTCCAACCAAATCTCCAGGATCTTGAGCTGTGAAGGAAGCTGATTTTGTATGTAAAACCCCTGTAAAAGGTCACCTGAAGACAGCCTGGCAAACCCTGTGCTCAGACCCATCGGAGGAGGTAGACGGAGGTGGTAATAGCAGCCCTCCCTTGAGGATAGGAGAACTGCTACCACTGCCCCATGAGTGGCGGTTGTTTTGTCACTGGATGTTTGCTGATCGCTTGCTTTGGGGTTACTTTTTCAGCTAAGATTAAAATATAGCCAAGTCAGAGACCCCCTCCCACCACACACACACTTCTTCCCCTCGAGACATTTCAACAGCCAGGGAGGGTGTATCTCCTTCTCCAGAACCTTATTAAATGCAAAAGGAAATGATCTTTGAGCAACCAGTTGTTGCCCATCTTTCAAAGATGCGTTGGGCTGGCTTAGGCCTTTTCATGGCAACTCTAGGGCCATTCTCAAGTCCTAGCTAACGAGAGCAATACCAATATTAGCCATGTGGGCACCAAACCAACCTACTGGCCAATAAACCTCCCAATAGTCACAGTGGCAAGCTGTCATTCCCCATCCTCAGGACATCTGTCATCTATGCTTGAAAGCACAAACACGTGGAGCAGACAGAGTCCAAAGAGAGCTGGTCTTTGAGGAGAAGACTGCCTTCATTGCAGGAGGGAGGTCCTCCTGGAAAACTTGGACCTGTGAACTGTCAATCCTGCTGCCAGCGTCTTGGGAAAGCGGTGCGCCAGACGGGAGACACCGGGGAATCACCCGTTTCCATTTGCTCTAGGAAATCCCCCGAGGATGCTGCAGCCCTGCTCATTTTGGAAGTAGAATTAGCCCTGGCTGCTGTGCTGCTGTTCATCCCATGTGTCTGGGTTTCTTCCGGGGATGCCAGAGGTGTTGTTTTGGTATCTTACGCATCTTTTCTACACATGTGCTCTCCCTTCTCCAGCAGCTGTCGGGGCTGCGCAAGTGCCTGCCGTCACATCCTGGCACAGCCCCTTGTTTGACCATAAGGTATTGGTGGCATCAGGGGAATGGAGGTCTGTGAGGGTTGGTTCTTCAGTGTTAAACACCTTGCGTTAGCCTTCAACCACTTGCAGCCGTGGCCTTCAAAGTTGTGACTGTCCCCGAGACCAAGACTATCTGTTCCTCCCTTGTGTCCGTGTGTGTTGCTCTCCAGCCGCAGGAGGTCTCTGCTGTATTTCAACCATCTTCTGTTTTCTTTTCCAGCAGCTGCAGGTGGTCCCTTTATTCGGCGATATGCAGATAGAACTGGCCAGATACATTAAGACCAGTGCTCACTATGAGGAGAACAAATCCAAGTGAGTGCCTGCCGTAATGTCTCTTGGCTTTTGTGTGTCCTGATTGGGTAGGGAGTAAGGGTGTGTGCCCAGCTGGCACCCTGTGCAGGGTGTGTGTGCATGTGTGAGCTTGTCCCTGCAAGCATACGAGCGCGTGTGCATATACAGCCAGTGGCACGTGTGAGTGTGAGCAAGTCATGATGTGGACATAGTTGCCCGTGGGTATGAAAGCACGCGAGTGTGCGCACAGTCCTGAGTGGCTCTGTGGTTGTGATCGCGCGGCGGGCTGTGAGCCCAGGCACATGGATGGGGATGCTCAGATACGCACCCATGAGCGTTATGTGGTGCGATGTCTGTGCTTTGGTGCTTGCCTGGGTGAGTGTCAGTACAGGTGCTCACGAGGTGTGTGTGTGCCCACATGGACAAGCGTGTGTAAGTGTGCAAATACAAGTGACGCGTACCTGCTCTGGGCAGATTTTCATCCGCAAGTTTGACCCAGGGTGAAAAATCCCCCAGAGCATGACCGCAGCACTGGCTTCTATCTGTGACCCCAGGGCAGCTCTCCATGGGGTTAGTGAGTGTCCTGCCCAGCTGGGGGGTTCACCCTGGACAAGGAAAGGCACACCTGTTGCTCAAATGCTTTAGATGTGAATTTTGTGGTACGGACGATTCTGTTTTGCCCCAGGGTTTTCCATGCCAAGTGATTCAAAAGTGCAAGGGGGTTGCAAGGCACTAATCTAGAATCTGGACCTAAATCCAAGGTAGCAATCCTGCGTAATGAGATCGAAAGCGTTGGTGGATGTTGCATCCAACCCACGTGAAAAAGTCACAGTTGTCTTCACAGTTCTGCACAACTGTTGATTACTGGTGAAAAGGACTGGAGAGATGAATGTGTATGTCCAAGATAGGTTCGGACATGAGTGCATTGGTGACTTGCCTGCCCTGCCGATCTGAGCTGTGCCTGGCTGAACGGGATAACCCTGCCTCACTCGGGGGGCTGGGCTGGGGGAGCTCACGTGGTCCGGTTCAGCCCTGCTTTACTGTGGTGCTTTGATATCACTTTTCGTGTGCAAAGATTCATCCATGGGACCAAAAGCCAGACAAGCAGTGTACAGAAGTGCCTCCGCTGTTCTTTGGAGCATCTTTATTTCTGTCTCTTCCCGAAGCTGAGGTTGCTGCTGGCGGTTCTTGCTGTGTGGGCATGAGCCCTCAGGAAATGAGCTAAATGCTGCAAACTCAGCTCTCCTTCATCCTCAAGGTTGGCTTGAGATGAGACAATGGAAGCATAAGTCACGGAGACCCTGCTCCGTCCGCAGTTGCTACGCAGGTCCCTCTTGTCTTGCCTCGCAAGGGGAGTAGCCTCCATACAAATAGCCCCGGGCTAGAAAATGCCATTTAGTGCTTCATCAGTTTGCTTCGTATTTGGTTTTCTGCAGTCAGAGCGGAGGTCTGAGCCACCTCTCCGCTGGGAGGAAAGGATGGTCCTTCACTTTCCAACCTCAAATGCACTTTGCACGTCCTCATTCTTCAGACTGGCTGAAACATCGTGATGGTTTTTCCTGGGGAAACATTTTGAAATGTTTTTTTCTTAAAAAAAAAAAGTCCTCCTATTTTTTTCCAGTCTTTTGGACAATGGTAGGTTTTGAAAACCGTTTGGGGTAAAACAACAAAAATGTGTTGCTTGATGAAAATCTTAAGACTTCCAAAATCAAATTGCATGGAGATTTTTAATAAACAATTGCACATAAAAGCTGGGGAAGGTCTGCCCACATATAATTTTTTTTTTTTTTTGGTCAAACCACTGTTTTTCATACTAAAATATTCCCACAACCATTTTCTAACAGCTCTGCTCACTTTGTCCTCTTCAAGACTAGCTGGCTGGTGACTTCTCTGTTTCTCCATCATTTCGAACGTGCCTATCGCCCCAGCTGCAGTGCACTGAATCTCTCTCCCTGCCTTGCTTTACTAACCGGTTTCTTTCCTTAGTCGTTCTCTGGCCAAGGCGCTGTCGGACTTTGGCCTTTAAACTGTTTCAGGGGCAATTTTATATATTCCCTGTACTGAGGCTCCTGCTTTCGTCCCTTTTCCCCTTCTTACCCTTCTTCTCCCTTCCCTCCTTCCAAGATGCAATTAATTGTTGTCTTCCTTGCATGGCATTTTATTTCTCCCATATGGACTCGATTATATGTGGCAGGCTGGGCTGGCACCGCACTGGGCATCCTTGCTAGCCTGCCCAAGTCTCTTGGGGGAAGCGCAGGACACTGAGACGGGTAAGAGTCGGCTGGTGGGATCGTGGGAGACCAGGCGTGACGAGGAATAACGTGGCCGAGTAGGTAACAGGTCTGCAGCGGCTGCAGATGTCTCCATGAGGAGCATCACTAGTACTTGGCCGAATAAGCAGCTGACTCAGGTGCCTCTTCTGCTGGTGAAGGTGCGAGGCTGAGGGAGCACGATGGATCTTACCACTGCCCGTCAGAGGCTTGAAGCGATCGTCATGGCAAATAATGCACGAGATTTCTCTGGGTGCAAATGTCTGCACAAAATAGTTGTGGCACAGCTCCGAGGTCAAGTCCCCAGACGGTCGTGCCCAGGAGAAGGGGGTTCATTTGTGACACGGTCTCCATTTAAGTCCTGGCCGGGAGAAGGGGATTCACTCATGACATGGTCTCAGGTCTCCTTAGCATTTATTATACCACCTTGCACTTATTATTGTGGCAATACGAAGTCCCTGACACAGCCAGTGGGAGCAGAGGGCTCAGAGCAAACAAGTCGAGCCCCGTAAACCGTTCCCTGCCTTTTCTTCCAGTGCAGGTTTGTTTGTTGGGGTGGGGATATAGTCCAGGTCGAAAAGAGGAGAGGGAGGGAGGCATCTTTTCTGGCTAGTCACTCCCTTTGAGGCTGGCTGGTCTTAGTCTGGGAAGGAAAGGAAGGGGCGATGCCATTCAGCTGCACGGCAGCTTAGATAAGGGCTGCCTGTCCGCGACCGTCTGTCCGGCCCCCCTCCACAGCCAGTAGGTAAGTACAGCACGCACCTCTGCATTTTGTGAGAGGCTGAATTGAAAAAGAGCTCCACTGATGGCAGGGGTAGAGGAAAACTGTGCCTGGCGCGGTGCAAGCCATCCTCCGGATGGAGAAAGGCCGTATGCCCGTGCGTGCGCACGCACACGGGTCGTGCGGTGTCTCGGGCTGGGATGCGGGGCAGGGTGGGTGCCCGCTGAGAAGGCACGTCCCGAAGAGGACATGGTTTAAGGGGGAAGGAAGCAGCAGAGCCGGACAGCCGTGTTCTGCCCGCTCAGGAGGCTGCTTTCCTGCCCAGGTGGACCTGCACCCAGAGCAGCATCAGTCCCCAGTACAACATCTGTGAGCAAATGGTCCAGATCCGTGATGACCACATCCGCTTCATTTCGGAGCTGGCTCGCTACAGCAACAGCGAGGTAAGCACCGCCGGGCGCCTCCTCGGAGGGCACTTGGTGCCTGCACGCCGGCCAGGGAAGAGGCCAGGCCGCGGGGGGGCATGCGGTGCCTGTGGGCCGTAACAGGGGAGAGGGGCATGGGGGGGACGTTGCTCCACGAGTCACGTCACCCTCCCCCCGGGCCGTAACCGTCTCCCCTGGATGGCCTGGGTGCACGGTGAGAGCTGGCAGTCTCTGCTGCAGAGCCATTAAATGATGGCGATTTCTGGTATTTGCTGCAAAAGACTCTTCTCTTGCCTCTAAAGCAGAAACTTGAGAAATGTTTTTGATTATTGAAGTACAAGGTCTATGACCTTGAGGTCTGGAGTAGAGATGAGCGGAGGATTGGTAGCGTGCAGAGGTCCAGGGGGATGAATTGTTGGAGGGATGAGGAAATGCAGACACTTACGTTGACGGAGGTGTTGGGGACCTGCCAGGGACCGGGCCGGAAGGGGAAAGGAGCACAAGACTTCTGTGGTCCCTATTTGGGGTCTCGTAGCACTTAGTGGCTGGTGGGTATCTGTCTTCGCATGTCTTTTGGGGGATCGGTTGTGTTTTTGAATGTTGGCTCTATTATTTTATAACTCAGGTTCATTAGTAAAGTTACAAAAAAGGATATGTGATTAATGATGTGATGAAACGTTCATAATTTAGCACGCATCATGGCCCATGGATGTCAGCGGAGGTGTAGAGGGAGGGTGTCATTCATACCAAAACAAAGCCCCTCTCAGGGCGTGGGAAGGAGGTAACAAGGAGAAAATAATAGGGCTTTATTGTGGTTTTGATTTATTGGCTGATGGGAGGCCCCTTCTTCTTGGCATCTGGTAATTGTTGCTGCTGCTGGGTTGCTGGCATTTATGACTGAAGCTCTGCTTTCCAGGGTGCCTACGCCTTTTCTGTATTCAATTTAAATGACTGCAAAAGTGCTCAGTGAATAAAAAAAGGGGTATCCCAAAGACCTGGATAGTCTTGGAAGTGCCTCGCCAGAGCTTTTGAGGGAGCAGGGACGATAAAAGAGGGGTTGTCTATTTTCTCCAGTTTTGCCGGACAGGGAATAAGTTGAAGCAAGGCCCAGTGATTGAAAAGGGCTATAGCCAGCTCCATCTGCACAAATGTTTGGCAGTTCCTATCAGGGAATATATTGCCCATCATGTTTCTGTCTCTGACTGTGAAATCATTTGAGCTGCATTTTGGTGGCAAATCAAGAGCCATGAGCTCTCTCGCTCCATGCAGGGCATTTCCGGCCGAGTGGTTTTCTGCGTCCCATGCTGCCCTTGTGTGTTTTGCTCCAGGTGGTCACTGGCTCAGGACTGGACAGCCAGAAATCAGATGAGGAATACAGGGAGCTCTTTGACCTGGCCTTGCGGGGGCTGCAGCTGCTCTCCAAGTGGAGCGCCCATGTCATGGAGGTGGTGAGTACCGCATCTCCCAGCGGAGCATCCTCACCGGCTTCTTCCCAAGAGGGCTTGAAATGTTTCCGGCCATGTTCAACCAGAGAAAGTCCACAAAAAAAAACAAAAAG